ATTACTGGAGAAAGTCAAATTTGATCAGGTAATTACTGGAGAAAGTCAAATTTGATCAGGTAATTACTGGAGAAAGTCAAATTTGATCAGGAAATTACTGGAGAAAGTCAAATTTGATCAGGTACTTACTGGAGAAAGTCAAATTTGATCAGGTAATTACTGGAGAAAGTCAAATTTGATCAGGTAGTTACTGGAGTAGGTCAAATTTGATCTTTAAAAATTTTAATACAATATCAATCGTTATCTTCTGTTTTTTTAATTCGTATTCTTTTACTGTTCTCTCCTTAATAATGCTTGTCGGTTTCTCATATGTTCTCATACTTGTGTCTTAGTGGCTTCATTGCCTTGCTTGTGGTGAAACGATTAAAAAAACTTTAACTTCTAATCTATTTTTTCTATTCATAATATATATTCCAAAATAAAATCCTTAGATTTACATTGATAAAATCCATCAGAGGACGAAACGCGTTGGTTAAGAAAAGTTTTCCTTTTGTTTTTATTGAATGGCAGGAAACATTTGCTTAAAACAGTAAAATAAAAACATCATCCTCGGCAGGTGAATTACGATGACAGGCTTATTGTAACTGTGATCGCTGTGATAGTGATTTTTGAAAAATACAGTTACATTTGGTTTGTCTTCGTAATTCAACCCTGAGGATGATCTCGGAGGGGATCGAAAGTACTTGGGTTAGCAAAAACTAGAAACGATTATTATAAAAATAAATAGACATAATATGTCTATATTATTCAATGAAACATGTTTGAATTAAAATATACAGAGTGTATCAAAAATACTTTTACACACTTTGGGATCAGGTTACTCACACCAAAACAAGGACAAAAACCACATGAACATAAGCCCGCAAATCTTTCTTTTTTGAGTTATTAAGTTTAAAGAAAATTCGCGGTAGATGGCACAGTTGCATTTATCATTCTTATATATTTGTGGCTAGTCTGTCTTCACCATTTAACGTGTGTAGTCGTGAGTTAACCGAGAAGTGTTCAGTTTAACAATGGCAGGATATTAATATCATGAGCAGGCAGATGTGATTTTTACATAGCGCAAATGGTAATGGACACGAGGCTGCACGGTTGTATCAGTTTGCAGCTGAGCCATCCAAACTTTGCTGCTGTTTAGCTGTCGCGTTGAGGAGACACTGGCACCACACAATATGGATCGAGGAAGACCAAGATCTGCTCGTACACCTGACTTAGTGGCCCGAACGATGTCGTACATCTCATAGTACCGCATAGAGGGTACTTCAAGAGCAGCTCCTGTATCCGTATCATTTGCGACGTGTGCATTGTCTTACGCCCTCTGATCACTCACCACCGAGGAACTTTTGCCAATGACTTATTGCACAAACTGTCGATCCGTTGTTTGTCTCTTCAGTCTTGTTTATGGATGAGATAATATTTGGAAGAAACGGAATAAGAGATTTGCACAACCAACATTTGTGGGCAGATTGGAATCCCCGTGGTACAATACAGGCTAGACACCAGCATTAATTTATGGTTAATGTGTCGGCTGGAATTGTAGGTGACTGTTTGGTAGGTCCATATATTCTTCAAACATGTCTTACAGTAGCTGTCTACAAGAACTTTATTTTGAACACACTTTCAGATCTGCTAGATCACGGTGGAGTAATGGATAGCGGCTTGGATTGAGGAATCGGAGAGCCGAGTTCGAATTCCAGTTGAATCCATTACATTCACTTACGTGCTAACACCCTTGGGAAAGGTGTGAATCCTCTTTCTTCTCCCTTCAGTTATGGGTAAATAGCAGGACAGACTGGGTTCTATAGCCTTGGATGGCAACTGGTCTAGGAGAAGGAAAACTCTGAATTCAAACCTGCTCTTAGAGGAGGGTGAATGGAGTCTCTCTGAGCCAATCCATTTAGTGATGGTGTCACGATAAAAACACCCTTGATAGCCCTAGCGAAGCATCAAGAATTCAGCTAATTGACAAGATTATGAACTATACCAATCAAAGTATTAGTGAGTTCAATCTCGGCTGAGGCCGCAAGATGATGATGAGAGGATGTACCCCTGCTAATATGAAGATGCATGTAGTTCATTCATAATGCGGCACCAGCACAGTTTAGTCACATTGTTCGTGATGCATTGGCTGACATCTACCATGAAAGATGGATAGTTAGGATAAGTCCTTTGGATTTTTATTTGTGGGGAGCACCTAAAACAATTGGTTTATACAGCAAACATGAATAAAGCAGAGACTTTCAACGTGTCATGGCGGCCTGAGCAAGCATTTGACGTAAGAGTTTTTGAACGTTTTCGCTAGTCAATGATCCGACGGGTACAAGCGGGTAAAGAAGCAAGCTGAGAATATTTTGAACATTTGCTATGAGTTGGTGTGTTAAGGTACAATGATGGCGTTTTGTGCCAATGTTTATAAGGAGATTTTGCCTTGCTTTATTGTCAGTAACCCACCCCAAAGTTTGTAAAAGTATTTTTTGGGATTATATCTTGGATTGTACATTTAACAGTGTCTACGGTAAACTTTAAACTTTATGTGCCCTTGTTTTGGTGTGAGGAAACACTCAAAGTTTGTAAACGTATCTTCGATAGACCATGTATGTATATATATATATATATATATATATATATATATATATATATATCCCTGAAAGTATTCATCATCATGATCATCATGATCATCGACTTATAGCAGAGGATAAAAGAGTATGCGATGCGTAATTTATATGCGTAATTATATATATATATATATATATATATATATATATATATATATATATATATATATATATATATAAATAATATATATATATATATATATATATATATATATATATATATGTAACAGAGGATAAAGAGTATGCGATGTGTAATTTAGATGATCTTTATATATATATATATATATATATATATATATATATATTAATATATGTATATGCGATCTTTATATATATATATATATATATATATATATATATATATATATATATATATGTATGTATGTATATAAAGATCGCATATAAATTACACATCACATATTCTTTATCCTCTGTTATATGTCGATGATGATGATGATGATGATGATGATGATGATGATGAATACTTTCAGGGACTTTCAAATGTGGTCTCCTCTCCAAACCAAATCAAACATGTGGCCAGAGAAAAATACGTACTTTACTTTTTTCACTTATCTGGATTATGACGTCATCGAACTGAAACTGGGAATATATCACGTGATATGACGTCACTTTTCTTCTTTTTTTTGAGAAAGAAAAAAAATGAAGGCATATTCTTATCTATGTCGAGAAAGCTGCTTTTCACATGAGATATAAGCGTACTTAAATATGCTTGTTTACGCGTGTGTGTATGTGTGTGTCTGTGTATGTGTGTGTGTGTGTAACAGTTTGTTGGGCTATTCGGATATTTTTCATGTAATCATGGCCTTGAGCAACACTAATGTCCCAAATTCGTCCTTCGTTGTTCATATTAAACAGATGGTGAAACTCAAATTCCACACAGATATTCACGTAAATACAGGCAAAAGAAAACGTTGTTGGGGCACCTTACCAGTTGGATTCGGGTTTTCCTGCCCTGTTGGAGGGGTCTAGAATACAACGACTACATCTCTTATAAACCCCACCTAAGGGACCAACTACGAATTTAATGCCTAGAGACTCAAATATGAGAGACCGATATTTACATATTCCCGAACCAAGTAACCTCTGCCTTTTGGCGCAGACTACCACGTGTGTGCTTCCCCGAACACAAAAATCTTCACCTTTTCAAGTCAGCGGCCAATTGTTACCTATCACCCACATGCATATACACTTTTCCTATTCATGTATTAATATCAAACACCTCATCCAGTAAAAGCCTCTACAGTGAATGACTCTAGAGCCTTTTATTGGTTGAACATTAGTAAAAAAAAAAAAAAATGGGTAAATGTATATAGACTCAAATCCAAACTACTGATGTTTACCTATTACTGAAATGAGTAAATGCTTATAGGCTATTATTTCTGAAAAGGGCTGACGAATCCAGGTAAAATAGTCACAGGTAAAAAAAAAAAAGTCACTAGAGAAGGTTAGAACACAACGGACAAAAATCCTGTGGAGAAAATCGCAGCCTCTTATCCCAAAAGTGTACAAAATGCGAGTCTCATAAATAAAATGAAATTTCAAGGAATTTTTAATTCAAATTTGAATGTCAAATTGAGACTTCCTTCACATATAGTCGGGTCTTATGGGATGCTAGGAATTCTTAACTAAGAAATATATCGAATATGTGACCGTAGGATTGTTAGAAAAAGTTTTTTAGAGTTTCGATATGTGTGACTTCTTTTTTTCTTGCGACATTTTTTTTTTCTGTGACTTTATTACCGGTCAAGGGGCTGACATGTAAAATCGACCAGTCCGACTTAACTCGTTTTTTTCGTTACTTTAATAACAACACAATGTCGCAACATTTTTACTAAATTCAAACGATTTTCGATGCAAGGTGAAAAGAAGTGAGTCTTTTGTTCTCCACGCTTTGAGTTTTTCCTCTTGTCAAAATCACACGTAAAATACAAATTCACAATTGAAATACAATATGATATTTAATGACAGCTTTGTATTTGTATCATACAATATACTTTTTGTGTATGTGTAAAATGCGTGTAAGAAAACTGAAATTGTCATTGAGTGAAGAAAAAGAACTGTGTGACAAATTAGGAAAAATGTGTTGCAAAATCTTTTCAAGTTGTTTACGTTAAATATCCTCATGTTTTGTAGAGTCAATAAAATCATAAGACAATGACTTATTGTTTATTGTGACCGCTCAGAAGCACAACAGATATTTTTTTCTGTTTTTTTATATATATATATATATATATATATATATATATATATATATATATATATATATATATATATATATATATATATATATAGTGATAATGGTAGTAACTTCTGTGAGGCTTACTTTTGGTCGGCATCTTTGATCTACTTCGGCTTGCGAGCACATCGAAACACCAGTTCCTGTATGAACATCGAAGTTAAGCAACGTCGAGCCTGGTCAGTATCTTGATGGATGACTGCTTGGGTATACCAGATGCTGTAAGCGTAGGTGTGCGAATCCTGCAATTGGGCTTACGGCCACATCGCATGGAAACACCGCTTCCTGTACGATCACCGAAGTTAAGCAACATCGAGTCTGGTCAGTACGTAGATGGGTAACCGCTTGGGAATACCAGATGCTGTAAGGTAGGATATGCGAGTGATGTAATGTCTGGAATTTGTTAATCAGAATGTCGAGTTCAAATTCTTGTTGGGTTTGTTATATTCAGTTACGCGTAAATAACATTGGGAAAAATATGAATCCACCTCTTTTCTCCCCTCCAGCTATGGGTTAATGTGTAAGACTTGTATCACTAAAGCATTATTATCTCCAAAAATAATTACAATCTAAAAATATTTTCTGTCTTTGAATAAACTGCAAAAGCTTGATAAGCCGGAGAAAATTAATGAATCAATCAAGTTTTGATTTACTTCGAGGGTTTGTCTGGCTTAATGCGGATTAATGTGGAGGCTTTTGGCGTATCGAGATTGGAATTCACCCTCTGTATTTGTTGTTGTTTGTGTTTTGTTTCTTTTTGCATGATTTTTTTTTTTGTAAAAAGAGGATCAAAAATGTATTTGGCAGATAAATTTTGGACGTCTTTTTATTTGTTGTAAAATCTTCGCTTCGAGTCATGTGATGGATTTTTGGTGAATTTGATTAGAATTTATGCTGTGCGAGGTTACCGTTGCTCTCCAGTTTGTAGCCGAGGGGACAGGGGCTTCTGTGTAAGGGATGAAGTTGTTTTAGAATTGCGACGAACAGTTTGAGAAGTTCCAAAAGAAATGAATTCTACATTTTCAAAAGACAAGAATTCAGCACATGAAGGGTATTTTATATACATACTTGTATAGAACAGTACAGCTCACAGAAGAGAAAGAAAATTATATTTACATTCATACAGATAACTTAAAGAAAAAGAAAGAGAACATTTTATTATTAAGCCATAGTGTGTGTGTGTGTGTGTGTGTGTGTGTGTGTGTGTGTGTGTGTGTGTGTGTGTGTGTGTGTGTGTGTGTGTGTGTGTGATGTCCACGTGGTCTGTTTGAAATTGCCTATTTGGTTTGCCCGTTGGGAAGCAACACGCCCTCTGGCGGAGATAAATTCCGTGTTGTCGTTACTTCATCTCTGCGCTGAAAAAAAAAAAGAATGTAAGTGTTTATGTGCTTTTCCCTTTATGGTTCTGGATAGAACGACACCTAGCGGGCTTCCTGGCAGACATGGTGAAGTAGCCCCACAGGTTTACTACGACGTCCTATGTAAATTAAAAATCTTATTTCCAGGCAAAAAACTAGTTTGTTGTTCATTTAGGTGAATTTGTTTTTTCAACTATAAATTGATGAGGTCTCGACGCCAATGTAGTACTGCGCTTAAATTCAAAAACTCTTGGTACGATAGGGAAGAGCTCATCCGAACAATTACCACGAAAGTATTTATAGAAAAGACAGAGAGAGGCAACCTTATGGCGGTGGGAAAGTGACTGGAGCCGAGCCACCAGATCAGGACCAATAATATTGCCGATTCTTCTTTGGAACTTATCAAGGATCTCTAGGTAAATAGCAGGGACATCAGACCATATGTGACAGCAATATTCTAAGCATGGACGAATGGCAGACTGATAGATATTTAAGAAAGATTCTGGACAGTAAAATTGTCTCGCAGACATAGTGAATCGACTTTCTTAATAGCTAACCAAATCACTTTTACATGTAAAATTTTGTCAACGTTTTAAATTTACTCAAATGAAGCTTTTCCGTTTTTTCGACACACCAGCTTCGTCTAAGGCGATGATCTGATGAAGATGTCGGATGATAAGGCAATGTCTTCCAGATGGGCGTTGTTGCAGAAAGTGACTCTGGATAAAAACATGGCGACAAATTTTTGGGAGTAATGAATAACTGAACAAACATTTTATTTGGTTATTTTAGCCTCTGTGTGTCTGTCTGTCTCTGTGGGGTCTCGGGTAATTCACCCCACTTAGCATGAATCATAGTCAATACGCCTCGGACATAGATAGATAGATAGATAGATAGATAGATAGATATGAACAGACTTAGAAAGAAAATGGCCATTGAGGTCAATACTCAACAGCGACAGTGTTTCATGCTTCAAGCCTGATAATCGCGTTTAAGCATGTAACAGACTGTCACCGCTGGGTGTTGACTTCAGTGTCCACTTTTATATTTACATATGCACTATCTCTGATATTGAACACTTTAATCTATAAATATAGCACACCTTAAAACTATATTTTCATCATATAAATATATAAAGAGAGAGGAGAAAATAATGAAAAGAAAAAATAACCGAGACATTCTACACACAGACGCATATACATACGCACATGTGTACACGCGCACCTACACACGCATACCCACATACACACATATATATACACACTCAAAAGATAAAAAATCAACCTAACATGAATAAATTATTTTTAACTTAATATAAAAATAAGGAAAATCAATTGCTGAAACTATTATAAAACGGTTCGTCTACGAAACTGTGGAGTCGGATTGTTGAATATAACATCCGCTTAGTGATAAATTTTATGTATTAATTATACATATATATATATATATATATATATATATATATATATATATATATATATATATATATATATATAAAGAGAGAGAGAATTAATACAAGTAAAAGGTTTGTCACTTAGCTGATTGATGTTACCTCCAGCATCCCGACTCTAGAGTTTCGTAAAAACGCTTTTATCCAATGGACACGTGCTCTTGTGGAATTAGAACACTTCGGTGGACAAAATAGAGGACTCGGATCGAAATTCCAAATATTACCTGAAAACGGTCGGAGCGTCTTGAATATGACAATAAAAATGAGGACAGCATTCGGAACAATGTAAATAGTGTAAATAATTATAATACCTGATCTTAAATATATAGACAGACATTCATCTTTTGTCTTCGCACTCTTTTCGCTTAATATTAGTTTGTTTGTGTGTTTGTTTGTTTTTTTTATATCTTCAGTCTCTGTTTAACGATCGAGACGTTTGCTTCATCTATTGCCTCTCAACTGGACAAGACAAATTCTTCAGTCACTTGTTTTTTTTAAGTTTTATTAGGAGGAATTTTCCTGTCCTGTTCAAATCCCTTTCCATCCAATACTGCATCTTTCAAAGATGATCATATCTTGCTTGATCCAGAATACGTCCAATGTCTGGAAACTTCGAGATAATTTCTGAAATGCCACTTCATGAAATTCTGAGTTCTTTAGCTGTTGCTCGCAGGAACATATTCTTGACCAACTCCACTGTACTTCGTCCTGGTTTCTTTGGAAATGTTCTTCATTTCTTCAATTTTTTTTCATCTGTTTAACAACAAATGCATTGAGTTTTGTTTCATCAAAGATCCATTTTTCAAAAATGTATTGCTGGTAATATTTTTTCCAACAAAGTATTGCTGGTAATATATTTTCACAAATGTATTGCTGGTAGTATTTTTTTCAAAAATGTATTGCTGGTAATATTTTTCCAAAATGGTATTGCTGGTAATATTTGCTTTACCAAAAAAATATGGCTTGTAATATATTTTCACAAATGTATTGCTGGTAATATTTTTTTTCAAAAAAAATTGCTGGTAATATTTTTTTTAAAATGTATTGCTGGTAATATTTTTTTCAAAAAAGTATTGCTGGTAATATATTTTCACAAATGTGTTGCTGGTAATATTTTTTTCCAAAAGTGTATAGCAGGTAATTTTTTTTTTCCAAAAGAGTATTGCTTGTAATATATTTTCACAAATGTTTTGCTGGCAATATTTTTTTTGAAAATGTATTGCTGGTAATATTTTTTCAAAAGTGTATTGCTGGTGATATTTTTTTCCAAAAAGTATTGATGGTAATATATTTTCTCAAATATATTCATGGTAATATTTTTTTTCAAAAAGGTACTTCTGGAATTTGTTTTTATTATTGGTAATATTTTTTCCAAAAGTGCATTGATGGTAATATGTTTTTTTCTCCAAAAGTATTACTGGTAATATGTTTTCACAGATGTATTGTTGGTAATATTTTTTCACAAATGTATTGCTGGTAACATTTTTTTTCAAAAATGTATTGATGGTAATATTTTTTTCAAAAATGTATTGTTGGTAATACTTTTTCCAAAAGTGTATTGCAGGTAATATTTTTTCCAAAAAATATTGCGGGTAATGTATTTTCACAAATGTATTGCTGTTAATATTTTTGTTAAAAAGTGTACTGCTTGTAATATTTTTTTCACAAATGTATTGCTGGTAATATTTTTTACAAAAATGTATTGCTGGTAATTTTTTTTTTCAAAAGATGTATTGCTGATAATATTTTTTTCAAAAATATATTGCTGGTATTTTTTTTTCAAAAATCTATTGCTGGTAATAATTTTTCCTTCAAAAATTTATTGCTGTTAATATTTTTTTCCAAAAATGTATTGCTGGTATTAAAACCAATTCTTACTCTTTCACAGTGTTTTGACCCCAGTTTAGGGGTTAACTATTTGCTCATACTTGGACCTCATTGCCAGAGTCGAGGAAGTGACTTTGAACTCAGGATGGAAGGTGAGACAGACCTTGGAGAAAGCCAAGCCACCCAAATCAAACATCACGAAACTGAAGAGACTGGCAATCAAAACTCTACAGAGGAACGAAAACATCATCATACTATCGACTGACAAAGACAATGCAACTATAGTAATGGACAAATCAGATTATACAGGAAAGCTGGAAGACCTCATAAGAAATGGTAGCTAGAGCAAACTAAAAAAGGATCCTACAATGAAAACGGAACGCAAACTGTCACAGATACTAATCATGAACAAGGATCACTTCGCACCTAAGACGTATAGGCAGTTGTCGCAGCGTTACACCAAACTACCTCACATATACGGTCTCCCTAAGATTCACAAAGACGGTATTCCACTCAGGCCGATTGTTAGTTGCCAAGGCTCTGCCACCCTCTGAGTCGCTTCCTTGTAGATATAATTGGCCCATTGATCGGAAAGTCTCCTTCATATGTCTGAAACTCTGCCCACTTCGTGGAAATAATCAAAGATGCTCCCATCCTATACAACCAGATGATGAGCTTGGATGTGGTGAGTTTGTTCCCAAGGTACCCACGGAGGAGGCACTCTCAGTAGTC